TGCTTTGGTTGAATAATGTAGCTATTATTTCGTAAAATCCTTTCAAAATTAACAATAAGTCATTGAACCTGGTTGCTCCCGGATTGTCCCTTTTTTCACCTATGGGGTAAAAAGAACCAAGTGACAAAGATTTGATAAATAGAAAAAAACATATTTCTACAATGGTGAACAATGGCAGTTTTACTGATCATAGGTCAGATAGTTGTTTGTCTGATATGTGATGTTTGTTATGATATAATTGATTTGGTTTTCACAATATAATTACTCAAATCACATTAGGCTTTTGCGTCCCGCACTACCCTACTTTCTACATAAAATGATCCATTAATGATTAATTAAATTTACAGAATGTTGCTAAATAGATCTTCATCTAGGCAGTATATAATATAAATAGCGTAACATTAACATTTTATAGAATTCTGGATCTAATGGATTTTGGTAGTAACAGATGCGTGATATGATCTAATATTGCTGAATCATTTTTGCTAAATATAATGCAAATTGTTGCAAAATGTATTTTGAACCAGACTAAAGGTTGAAATCCGCTGCGCGTGAAGGAACAAAGCTGTCTTGCTACTTTCATCGTACTCTTGCCTATGTGTAAAGTTCTTTTTACACGATAACCTTGCAAAAATGGTGAGATAATTCGTGTCATTCATCGAGTCCTGGGATTATTACTTATTTATTCATGTTCCATTAAGAAAGAAATCATATCAAATAAAAGTTGAAGTTAGAATTGACTATACAGGGCTACTTTTCACTTCCCCAAAATATTGGAAAACATATTATTTTCCAAGTAACCTAATATAATTTAGCTTTCATATGCGCTTCAATTATTATGATGTATTCCTAGATTAACAAGTATAAAGTGTATATATTCAAGACGTCTTTAATTTTATATTTTTATTGTTTCAATTGTATTTTTAGATGTTATTCACAAATTCATTCAATCAATAGTATATTAAATAATTTTTTTAGAAAATCGTTGCTCAAACAAGGACTCATTTTTTTATATATATTTGCACCTATTTCATTAAGAACATCAGCAAATTAATGGACGTACTGAAAAAAATTCAGAGTTTTGAATTCGGTCTTTTGTTTCTATGAGCCTTTAGATGTAAAGCATGGCTTCGGGTGGTTTACGATTCTCTTTTTATAATAGTGGCTATTAATCTTCATGTACTGCATTGGTATTTAGGTCTTTATGTTTGAATCAGTTAGGTAGATATTTATATTTATTTTGAAATCTTTGGATAATTGTGATATTTGATTTCTTAGATGTTTCCCATAGTTTAATTTCGTGCGTCTATATTGGTTTTAGCATTACTTTGTACTGTAACAACTTATTCTATGAGTTTAACTTGGACTTTTTGTTTTATAGCCAAAATAGTTTCCCTCAGGGTTTTTCAAGTTGTTGTACTTTTTTTTTGATATGGTGTTTCCAGGCAAGGTTTGATTCTAAGTGCATTTCCAAATACTTGACGGCATTTGATTGCTGTCAAATTGTATTAAACAGGTTAACTGGAGGAAACTGGGTTAACCGGTTAACTGGGTAAAAATGATGTGAATAGATCTCAAATGATGTGTTGACTTTAAATCTCATAGTGCAAACCATTCCTAGACTTTTTACAAATAAATCTGTAGATTTCCGGATGCTTTTGATGGGTCTTGATTACTGCTATTGTGGTTGAAGTAGTTTATGAGATATTAGCAGTGAAGATTAAGTAAAGAAATGATTTTAAAGCATTTTCCTGCGATACACTAGCAACAGCCGGATGTTGTGGAGAGTACGTAACTCTAATGTTTACAGTGAAGAATCTGTTCAAGTAGTGTGAAGATGTCCCTAGAAAAAATCTTCTCAATTTTGTGTAAGACGCCGGGTGCCAGACTTTGTCAAACAGGGACTAATGGAAGTGAAAATTTGGGAAATAAAAATTGCTATATATACAAATAAAAGAGAGTATTTTAAATTATTATAACTATGAGTTTCTCCAGAAATTGTTAATTCTTTGATGCCAATGTAAATTTAATACAAAATCTCGCCTTAAATCGATTTGATATATAGGGAGAACGGTAATAATGGTCTACTGTCTAGTGTCTAATGTAATAATTTCATAATGTTTAAATTCAAAAATATTTAATTATTAAACAGCATCATGTTTTCACAATTTATTATATACTTAATAAAGATAGTAATAAGTTTATTGATTTGGGCAAGGTACCAAGTGAAAATCTTGGTGCTATGCCCGAATTTGTTTTACTTGGTGCTATGCCCAAATCAATAAAATATAAAAAATATGTATTGCAATAAAATTTAATATTTATGTAAAATAATTTTTTTTAAATGTAATTCTGTTTTATTGTGGTTAAAATGTTTATCTAAATAACTAAATCTAAATTCTTATCGATTATTTTGATTATTTACTTGTCGAGTCCCTTTTCGGCCGACTATTGTAAATTCATCAAATTTATTGAATGTCCTTTACTGGGCAGTTGTAAATAAAAGAGATAATAATAAAAAAAAATACTTGTCGAAAACTAAACTATATCTAGTGATAATTTTTTAACTAAAAACCTCTTTTTTTCACAAAATATATATATTTTCAGTATGATACTATTTTTCGAGGTTATGGAATATGCCGGTCTTCAGAGACTATTGATACAATCAAAAATGTATTTATACGTTTATATACTTACTGAATTAATTTATAATTGAAAGAATTCACATTTTACCTTTTTACAACTAAATATTTGCCAAGTCAAACACCTAACAAACATCAAAACGCACCGAAAACTACGTTTGAGAAAACTTTGAGAATATACATTTTCACCCTTTGAGTACTTAAATACTAAATACTAAATAATCATATTTAAAAATTGTGAAATGTTTTTGTTTCTGTCTTGAATTAATTTTGTAAATTATTCGGAAATATCGCACAGAAAGAAATAATTGGAATTATATTGGAATAAATATTTTTTGGATAAAGTTTGGATAAAGAATTTATTTAGAAACGCTTGTACAATAAAATTATATTATTAACTTTCCGTAGGGTAAGTTTTAGTAATCGCTTTATCGTTTAATTTATAGTAATGAAATTTATTATATAACGATTTCGAGAACACGGATTAATCGGTTTGAATGATTAAACTTGTGGTGCATAGCATTTTGCCTTAAGGCAAATTGCTGGAACTTTCCAGACCGAAATGAAATGTACGATTAATATTAAATGGATGTATGTGTGTGTGTGTGTATTCAAATGTTCGTAGCGTTCGAGAACACGGTAAAAACCGATTGCATTGATTTACACACATTCGATTTCTATTGGTAAAGAGACGTGCTGATTAGATTTGGCAAAGGCAGGTCTAGCCAAAATGGTAATTCAATTTATAGCACAACTGCTTTGAAAAAAAAGTAAAAATTTCCAAAGTATTTCAGAATATAAAAGAAATCGTTTTTTCCATAATCTTTATTTTCGAAAAAGTCAATATTTTTCAAAAATTTTTAATTTCTCAAAAATCTAATTTTTTCAACGTTTAAAAAAATAATCTTAATTAAAGAATTTTATTTTTGATACGGGAAGTTCCAACAATTTACCTTAAGGCACCATAAGGCCTTAAGGTAATGCCATACACCACTAGTTTGAATCATTCGAATCGAAAGCTTTGTTCTCTCATTGTCAGAAACTACCATTTTCACACTTTTAGCTCCTTATCCTTGAAACGACTAGGCCAAAAATTTATCACTACATGCTGATTTTGAGTTTTTGGCAAAAGGCAGGTTTTGCCGGTTTGAAGATACGGGGCGAAAAATGCCAAAAATGGTAATTCAGATTTTGAGAGAACGGAGTGTCCAAATTAAATGATTCGAAAAGCATTTTATTTGTATTGACAAAATAAAGAACTAATTAAATTTTTGAAATGGCAGGCCTAGTGGTTTCTGACATCCAAGGAAAAAAGTAAAAGAATACTATTTTGGGGTCAAAAATGATTATTGGCATTTGCACTTCTAATTATCAGATATTTTAAGGAGATTTCAATAGTTAGTTTAAATTTTGCTTACATTTCTATGGATTCCGTAACAATGTTTATCCATTAGACGTTGACTCGGCGCTTTCGCGCTTTGATATTTTGTTTCTAAAATAGCTACGCAGCGGAATTGCTTTAAAAAATGTTCAAAATTAAAAAATTCCTAAAAAATATGTTTTTAACTTCCCGTAGAGTAGTTATACTAGAGAGCCGAAAATCGAAAATGAAAATTTTTGCATTTCTCGACGTTTTGAAGGTTTCTGAACATTTTGGCACACCTAAAAAAAATTTATGTGTGTGTTTTGTGTGACCTCATTATTTCGCTTACGTTTTCGGGCGCACGGATCAACCGATTTGAATGGTTCAAAAATCATTCGATTCCTATTGATATGAAGATGTGCTGATTAGTTTTTGTCAAAGGCAGGTCCAGCCAATTCGGAGAAAAAGAGCAAAGAGTGCAGAAAATAGAAATTGAGTTTTTGAGAGAGAGGAGCATCCGATTTGAATGATCTAAAAAACATTCAATTAGTAATGATTGGGAGAAGTGTTTTTTTGTTTTTAGCAAAGGCAGGCCCAGCCATTTCAAAGATACGGAGCTAAATATGTAAAAAATTGCAGTTTTTGAGAGAACTAAGCGTCCGATTTGAATGATTCAAAGAACTTTCTGCTTGTCTTTCAGTACAAAATGTTCGAGCAATTTGCCTTTAGGAACGATGCTATACACCACTAGTTTATGTCAATGATTAGAAACAGTTTATACGTTTATACCGTCCGAAAACCGTCCTCATCCGCCAACTGCCTTACAATGTTGGTACCTCAATCCGCGCATGCGCACTCGCTTCCATGGCTGACATACATCATGAAAATTACTCAGTCACTCGCACCGCAAGCATAAATCGAGTGATATCTCAGGTATTCTCTATTATTATTAAATAAAATAATGTTTAAAACACGAAGCTGATATAAAAAAATAAAAATAAATCCGATAATAATAATTCTAGTGTATGTTTCAGTGATTTAATCATGTGCTTAAATTAAAGTTAAGCCGATGTCTTTTTGACAGATGAATAACAGAAGTGTGCAATGTACGGTAGCTAGTACTGTTTAAATAAGTGTTTAATTGGTTTGGTTTTAAATAAGATAAATATTTGTGTAATGTGTGTGTGTAATTGTCAAGTTATTTAATTGTTGATCGGGAATTGTATAATGTGAATTTGTAACAGAAAGTCTTTCACACCGAATTAATTATTATAAGGTAAGACTTTGTGCTATTTGTTTCCACAATTACCGTAATTTAGAACATGCACATTATCTATTTAATGACTGTGTTTATGAATTCAATAATATTTTACATACAGCTTATAATATCTTCCTGAGAAAGTTTGTTTTACCAGAAAATACGAATTGCTTATTTTATGTTTTTTCGACATTTCATGCCCTTCTGATTTTTTTGAAGCCAAAATTGTCAAAAAAGTGTGTATGTCAGGGATGAACTTAAAAAGAAATCATTAAAATAATTTTAAGAACTAGTTGTGCATATCAAATTGCTGAAACTCCCATACCATAATGAATTTATCGAAGAATTTTAAATGTTTTCAAATATATTTTATTAACTTCCCGTAGGGTAAGTTATTGTAATCGTCCAAAAATCAAAATTGAAATTTTTTTACATTTCTTCACGTTTTGAAGGTTTCTGAACATTTTGGCATACCTCAGAAAAAATAGATGTGTGTGTATGTATGTATGGATACAATTTTTCGGTCACGTTTTCGGGCGCACGGATCAACCGATTTTAATGTTTCAAATAACATTCGATTCCTATTGATAGGGAGATATGCTGATTAGTTTTTGGCAAAGGTAGGTCCAGCAGTTACCGAGATAAAAGAGCAAAGAGTGCAGAAAATAGAAATCGAGATTTTGAGTTAACGGAGTATCCGTTTTGCATGATCTAAAGAACATTCAACTAGTAATGATTGGGAGAAGTGGTTATTGTTTTTTGGCAAAGGTAGGCCCAGCCATTTCGAAGATACAGAGCTAAATATTAAAAAAATGGCAGTTTTGGAGAGAACTAAGCGTCCGATTTAAATGATTCAAAGAACTTTCTGCTTGTTTTAAAAAAAATAATTGATTTTGAAAAAAAAAATTGTTTCAAAATAATTTTTTTTTCAATTTTTAAAAAAAAAAAAAAAAAATGTATATCGAAAATAAATCAGATTATATTTTGAATTCTGACTAAAATTCCAATATACTTTAAACAAATAATTGCAACTTTGCAATTCAGATTATATAATTCTTATAAGTACACCTAAGTCTGTTTTTACACGGAGATTGGTTCCAGAAGAATCCGTGTAAAAAAAAAAACGTGTAAAAAAAACATTGATCTTATACAAAAATGGGTGATTTGTTCCTAATCTCTAAAACCTATTAAAATTGGTGAAAAACAAGAATTTTTAAGAACAAGAATTAAATTAGTGCTATTCACATTTGCTTTTACCAGTAAAAATTGTTTGTACGCGCTAAAGGGGAATTCACTTAAATCTTTAAGCTAGTGTTTGCAAACTATCGATACTATCGATGGTTTCATACTTTTTTCTTTCATAAATACTTTTTTGTGATATGAACATACTTCGCAAAAATTTAATTTGACAAAAAAAATTTAGGTACATATAATTTCAAATCGTGCTAAATGGAATAAATTCGTGTAAAAAATTTAAAAATATTCAATTTTCAAACCGTGTTATATCAAAACCGTGTACAAAAAGACCGTGTAAAAACAGACTTAGGTGTATTAGACAATGTTACAATATTAATAATAATCTATTTGAAAACATTGAGTATTCCTTGAACATTTCGTTACGATACGGGAAGTTCCAGCAATTTGCCTTAAGGCACGATGCCATACAATCCACTAGTTTACAAAATTGGATAATCTGCAATAATTTTTCACATTATGAAGCCATATAGCAACTCGAAAATCTCTTATAAATCACTCTTATCTTCTTATAAATCACTCAAATTAATACATTGATATCTTCTTGATAAGGTCGATTATAAACAAGCCGGGAAATGTATGCAAGTTGCAAAGCAAAATGCCACTTACAACTAGTTATCTTATTTACTGTTCCAAAATAGCATAATTTGAGTTTTATCATTTTCAAAAAAATTATTAGAATTACACCAATTAGTATTTACAGTCAAATCTAAATTTGGATTGTTATTAACTTCTCTTTAAATGAGCTTCCTTTTACAATTATAATATAGTTATCAGTGAAAAGAAAGAATTTACTGGTATCTTTATAGTTTGTTTATACATATTTTACCTATCCTTTCAACTATCCTTATCTATGGATGAAAAATAATCAGGGGCTAAGGATTGAACCTTGCGGTACACCGAGTTTTTATTTAGTTAATTGTTGAACCATGGTCCAGAGATTGAGGGGTCAATTCTCTGGTAAAATAGACAATAACATAGAGTTGTTATGGTAACGATCAGGCGATCAGAAATATGTAGTCATTATGACGTTCTTTTTTGACGTTTGTTTTTCTAAGTTAGGTTTTGTATCCAAAAGGCCTGACTGCAAAGGAAATACACAGGTCGAGTAACTTTCTTAAAATTGAATAATTTTGTCAAAATATAGACCAGTGGTCGGGGAACTTTTGGAACCGTTACCCCAAAATGTTTTTGTGCATCCTCTCATTACCCCAAAAAAAAATTAACTAAAAGAGCCTATAATTGGAATCTGTTTGCAACATATTTCTGTATAACCTGCCATAACATTGTTTGTTACTTCTAAACTTTGAAAAAGGCTGAAATAAATGGTTTGAAGGAAACAATAAGTAAAAACTATATTCATTATGAATAAATATATTTTTCATGAAAATCCTACTAATACATGAATAAACTAGTGGTGTATGGTATCATGCGTTATGGCAAATTGCCTGAACTTTCCGCACCGTGACAAAATTTTTGAGGAATTTTAAATGTTTCCAATTAGATTATTAACTAGCTGTAAGTGGAATTCTGTCTTAAGGCAATTAAGGCATCGTGCCTTAAGGCAAATTGCTGGAACTTCCCGTGCCAAAAATTATTATTTTTTTAAAAACGATTAACATTTTTGAAAAAATTTTACTTCGAAAAATAAGATTTTTTAGAAATTTTAAATTGGACAAAAAATTACTTTTTTTTGAAATTTTTTTATAAAAATTTTTTTTTGGAAAAAATGTTATCTTCATTTTGATATATTTTGGAAGATCTGAACTTTTTTTCAAAGCAATCGTACTGCTTTAACTGCATAGAGACAAAATATAAAGCGCGTAAGCGCCGCGTCGCTGTCTGACGGAAAAACAATGGTACGGAACCCATAGGAATGTAAACAAAACTTATACTTATCGTTAAAATCTCAATAAAATATCTGATAATTTCATATGCATATGTCTAATGTCTAATGATTATTGTTGACCGCCAAATGTTATTTTTTTTAGTTTTTTTTACTAGATCTCCGAAACCGCTAGACCTATCTTCATGAAAATTTGATCAAATCTTCATCTTGTTAATACAAGTAAAATGTTTTTTTAATTATTAATATCGGACGCTCCGTTCTCTTAAAAACTGAGTTACCGTTTTTGGCCCTTTTTGCCCCATATCTTCGGAACGGCTAGAATGTTTTTTGAATTATTCAAATTGCTTCATCCGTGTTCCCGAAATCGTCGACGAAAATTTGTATCCGAACACACACACATGCACGCACACACACACACACACACACATACATCAATTTTCTCCAAGGTATGCCAACATATTCAGAAACATCTGAAATTTTCATTTTCGATTTTTTTGCGATTACTTACCCTATGGAAAGTTAATTATAAATAAATCAATTTATCATCTCCACAACATTAACAATCGTCATTTCATTTCGAATCAAATTCCAAAAAAAAAATAGTTGCCAAATTTACACAAAATTGAAAAAGTGCTCCCGCATAGTCACAGTCTAAACGCATTTGCAAATAATTCTGTGCGACATTTTCACTTATACTGTGCTCAGCTTGGCGGCATTTTCACATTTTTCAATAATTTTCACAAAATTGGAAAAGTGCTCCTGTACACAAACAGTCTAAGCGCACTTGGGTAAACATTTGTACCAGAGTGGCGCTTAGACTGTGCTTAGCTTGGGTGATTTTTTGAATTTTTAGATTTTAAATTACAAAAAAAATTTTTTGAAAAAAAAATTAGAAACAAAAATTTTTTTTTCCAAAATCAATTATTTTGTTGAAAAAAGCAGAAAGTTCTTTGAATCATTTAAATCGGACGCTTAGTTCTCTCAAAAACAGCTATTTTTTTTTAATTTAGCTCTGTATCTCCGAAACCTCTAGGCCTACCTTTGCCAAAAACTAATCAGCACATCTCCCTATCAATAGGAATCGAATGTTTTTTAAACCATTCAAATCGGTTGATCCGTTCTCTCAAAAACTCGCTTTCTATTTTTTGCACTCTTTGCTCCATATCTCCGTAACGGCTGGACCTGCCTTTGCCAAAACTAATCAGCACATCTCCCTATCAATAGGAATCGAATGTTTTTTAAACCATTCAAATCGGTTGATCCGTGCGCCCGAAAACGTGGACGAAAAAACGCGGACATACAAAACACACACACCACACACACATCCATTTTTTTCTGAGGTATGTCAAAATGTTCAGAAACCTTCAAAACGTCGAGAAATGTAAAAATTTTTGATTTCGATTTTTGGACGATTACTATAACTTACCCTACGGGAAGTTAAAAATACTGTAACATTGTATTACAAAATTAATTAAAATTACAAAATTTAAAAAAATTATTTACTCGAAAAATATAAGTGAGCTTTAGAACTTTAGCTAGAATTGAAATTAAAATCTGAATTATTTTCGATACACAAAGAAAAATTTTTTGAAAAAAAATTGAAATATTTTTCTTTCACAAAAGTAATTGTTTTGTCAACACAAACAGCAAGTTTTTTTATTCATTCAAATCGGATGCTTAGTTCTCTCAAAAACTGCCATTTTTGTACTTCTAGCTCTGTATCTTCGAAATGGCTGGACATGCCTTTGCCAAAACCTAATCACTACTTCTCCGAATCATTACAAATTGAATGTTTTTTGGATTATTCATATGGGATGCTGCGTTCTCTTAAAAATTCGATTTCTATTTTCTGCACGCTTTACTCCGTATCTCTGTAACGGCTGGACCTGCCTTTGCCAAATACTAATCAGCATAT